GATACATTCCAATGATTTTGGAAGACATGGATGTCTTAGCAGCATTAATCAGGCAATCTCTTCCCAGTTCATCTGTGTTAACAATTAGGTTTTCATTGATATAACGCACTGCTTCCCTGTTTAAAAGTGTGGGGGAGAAAAACGTTTACAAAGTCACTACTCAAACTCTTTGCAATCATCAAGCTTAACACAGAGCCAAAACGTCGTTAAGTAATATCTGTTCAGCCATTTCATATAGGAGGAGGACATGAAAAAACCCTCCCTCTTCAGATCATGGCAAGTTTAATCTATCCCATAAGCATAACCACTAAAATCTATGATTAGGAGAAAATGTGGTAGTCAAATGGGAAAAAAGATACCGGTACAAGTTTTTAACTTCAAATATTACTACTTAAATGCTAAAACATTTAAATGGAATGTTTTCAAATTAAAATTTAGTTATTAATCAAAACATTAAGACAACACACTTTACAACTATTACATCAAAAAAAATTTTCTCTCTATGCAAACAATCTTACTTGCAAGCAAGTCGATAGCCACTAATAACTGATGTGGGATGAATTTTCTGTTTGACTAATTCATCTGCATTTTTTAGGAGTTCTGCGGCAATAATAACCTGTTGAGAAAACATTCACTGATCTCAGTATGCCAGATATTCAACATGCGCAATACACATGAAATGACACTAAAATGGCCATCTATTAGCCAAAATGGTGGTGGTGAAATGAATTAACTGGTTATTAGAAACCTGGGGGGTGAAGGGAGAAGAACGCTACAAAACACTTGAAGTCCTCAATGTTACTCATAAATTCTTGGAAACTGCCACTTCAAGCAAAACAACAGACAGCGATTTCTCAAATACAGTTGTTTATTGTTAACGCTGATGGGGGGAGGAAAATTTATTTTTTTATACATCGTTTCTCCTCTTAAAGTCAGTTTCCACGAATCCATTGTGGAGTGAGGTCTTACTGTATTATAAATGCAAATGGCCAAAACTGGGTAGGAGCCAGAAAAACATTCTAAGAAACTAGTACACCCAATACAATCGTGAAAGACAACACACCTATTACCTTTAGAGGGAGTGCTCAATAGAAGCTAAACCGTGTGTGACTATTCATATAACCTATATTAGGCTATTATATTATTAAAAACAGTTCTTATAAGTTGATATGAAACAGTAACAAATACTTTTAAACTAAGAAGACTTAAAATCTTGTCAGCTTCTTATGGGAAGAAAACTACACTTGTTAAGTCACATTATCATAAGTTAGACAAAGATCATATTCATATTTTAGGAGTACATTCCATTCTTTCATGGCTGAAGTTTAACCTACAAATACATGTTCCCCACAAACTATCTCTTGTTTCTCCAGAATTAACATCTTTCTCACCAAACAAGTGTTTCTACTATACCAGCATGCTGGATGATCTATAAAGTTTATACTGTATATCACGTTTACTGACTCGAAAAGATCACACTGTCCTATCATGATGTATTTATTAATTTCTCACACTCCCATTTTGAATTCCTGAGATTACCTGTCAGGATTTAAAAAATAAAACAGGCTTAGTGCAGCAGCTCATGCTTGTAATCCCAGCACTACAGAGGCTGAGAAGGGAGGATCACTTGAGGCCAGGAGCTCAAGACCAGCCTGGGCAACATAGTGAGGCCCTGTCTCTACCGAAAAAAAAGAAAAGAAAAAAAAATTTTTAATTATTTGGTTGTGGTGGCATATGCCGGCAATCCCAAGCACTCTGGGAGACTAAGGCGGGAGGATTACTTGAGCGCAGGTGTTCCAGGCTGCAGTGAGATATGACAGCACTGCAGCACTTCAGCCTGTGCTACACATGGTCTCTTAAAAAAATAACACAAAAACATTGTTTCTCCCCCAAATTGGTAACATTTTGTTCTCTAAATAATTACAACACTTTAGAGCTTTCCAAGTCTCAAGAGGTGATGCGGAAGGAAACAAGATTTTTGAGAGACCATAAAAAAATCTGTGTGATGTCTGAACACTGCCATAAAGAGAAAAATAAGCCCTCAAAACTTGTGAATACCAACATTTAAAACAATGGGGCTATGTTAAATGAACTCAAATTCTTTCCTACTTAAACTGTACAAACAAGCTATAACTACCAACTTACAAATTGTGTTTCTGAATCTGTACCTAAGAAGCTTATTTTCCCTCTTAAATGTGTAACTTCTTTGTTTTTTCTTTTTGCTCAATCATCTGGGCATTCAGAATATGTAACTTATTTCTGACCCAGCACAAATGACCCATTATGGCTTCAACTTTCTCAAAGTCGGTTGTTTTTAGAAAAATGATCATTCTTTAGGCAGTCTACCTACCACTGACGTAGTTCCATCTCCAACTTCTTTGTCTTGCAGATCAGCCAGCTCACAAAGAACTTTAGCTGCAGGATGTTCAACTTCCAGTAACTTGAGGATGGTTGCACCATCGTTAGTAATGGTCACATCCTAAGAAATTAGCAGGAAAAAATATGAACCACTCATAGAAATCAACACAGCCCCATTATAATACACATTCACCTTTAATATCACCTTCCAGTACCTGGATTCTGATAAAATCAAAGAATGAACACAGCAAAACACTGAAAATAGTTTTACTTTAAGGCAACTAACACAACAGTTAACGTGTACTTACACCGATATCATCCACCAGCATTTTATCCAAGCCAACAGGACCAAGAGAACTTTTTACAATATTGGCAATCGAAGCTGCAGCCATAACTGTACACAATTAAAAACACAAATAAAAAAGAAATAAGAATCCACAACTCTGAAAGACAGTAATTTCAGCCTAAAGGTAAATGACATCAACAGCCCCTGTATTTCCCAAACCTACAAATCTGCGTTAATTATTTAAAAACCACCTACTAGGAACCTAAATGGGGCGGACACTGTGGCTCACATCTGTAATCCCAACACTGAGATGCTGAGGCAGGAGGATAGCTTGATGCCAGGAGTTCGAGACCCCCTTGGGCAACATAGCGAAACCCATTTCTACAAAAAATAAAAATAAAGCCGGATGTGGTGGCGCGGGCCTGTGCTTGGAGACTGCAGTGAGCTATGCTAGCACTCCCGTCTGGGCGACAAGTGGGACCCTGTCCCTAAATAAAGCGAGCCTATTTGGCACAGCTTTGATGAGGGGGTGGAATCTGATGGCGGGAGAAAAAAAGTATTAACCACAATTTCATGCTCTGCCACTTCGTACAGCTATGCCAGCCTTTTCCTTCAGATCCTGCAAGTTTTTTGCTCATTAAAACTCTTTTTATCTGTGAGGAGAGAAATCGGTAGCCAACGGGGAAGGTACTTTCAGATTTGTTTACGAAAAAAAATTACGAATCTATCAAAAAACAGTGCGCTCTGTAGGTATACAAAGGCCCGACAGCAAACGCTCTGCTAAGTTGGCGCTGCCGTCTCCTGGGGTCAACTGCACTCCAGTGGCGTTTCCCGTGCTAACTCTACTTTAAGATGCTATCAACCGAGAGAGAGCCGGACGCCGGGCGCCCGACCCCGACAGCAGCTACGGGCGGAAAGGGCACCGGGCTCATCCGCAGGGGCGCGGATGAACCTACTTTTTCTGGTAAATGGTCCTGAAACGAAACCCGGCGTTTAACATGGACGCTCAGGGGGCCGCCCTGAAACAAAAGAGGATGCGAGGCGTGGCCCGCACGTGCAAGTCCGGGAGGCCCGCTTTCCCGCGGAGGGGCGCGTTTCCAGCGCCGCCCCGGACACCACATCCACGCGGTGCCGGTCTCAAAACCCGGCTGCGCGCTCCGGGGCTCCTCCCCGCTGTGGGGAGAGGGGTCGACAGCGCCCTGCCCCAAAGAACGGCGGGTGGGCCAGGTCCGGCTGCGGGGCCTCGAGGCCCTTTCTGCAGAGGTAAAGGAGGAGAGGCACGAAGCGGTCAGCCGGGGTCCGGTCGCGATGGGACTCGGCCCTCCTAGCCCGCGAGCCCGACCCAGGCCCGGCCCTCCCTTACCGTTCTGGGAGCGGATCGCTTCCCCAGTGCTGCGGTCACCGAATACGGACAAAGGCCCCTCCATCTTCGCGGCAGCGATACACGTTGAATTCTGCTCACAACGCGGGCAACCAGTATCGCGGTCCCTCGGCTGACCCGCGACCACAACAGTGGCTGCGACGGCGTGGAGGGTACCCGAGCGATGCCCCAGGAGCTGCTGGGTAACACCGCCCTACCCCCTTCCCGGCTGCCCCGGCCCGGCCGCGGGGCACGGCGGGAAGGAAAAAGAGGCGGGGGCAACAGGAAGAGAAACGGGAGCGCGCCGGAAGTGAGGCTCTCGGGAAGGGGCGGGATCGGCATTTTTATCCAATTAGATAGCCGATGGGAAGGGCGCGAAAGCGGAGAACGGAAGTCGGATCTTGGACCGCTGGAAAGAGGCGGAACCTTCGCTGCAAACAACCTTGCGCAGACGCAGTGGGCCATTCTAGTGCCTTCTAGAAAGGTTGTAGGCGGGTGGAGCTTGGAGCTGGGGTGTAACTGGAGGGGCGGGCCCTTCTCCAAGGTAGAGTTGAGGTTCTGAGCGAGTCTTGCGTTTTAGCTTTAATGTCTTTTCCTCGTCCCTGCTCGGGGAGCGTAAGGCAAATCGGCCGGCTTTCCTCCAGGCCTCAGGAGTATAAGTTTAGGGGCGCGAACCTGGGTGGGACGGGGCAGTTTTTCCAGCGGGCCATACGGGAAAATTTTTGGTTCGACGAAGACAACTACCCTTTTTAAGGAGAAAACTGCACCGTGCCCTGCCTCATTTCTACGCGGTGCCCAGTAGGGGTGTGTATGGACCAGTCAATGACCGCCCAAGATCTCTTAGTAGACAACTCAAATATGGTTAGGTGAAGTTGTGGGTGCCTTTGACCCTGGACTTAAGCAAAAAGCGTGGTCGTGGGCGTAGCTAAGAGGTGATTGGTGGGTTCCAGGGCCTGCGTGCCCCTCCAGGTGAGCGGTGATTGGCGTTGCCGGATAACAGATCCTCCTGCTGGCCACTCAGTGGCTGAGGACTTGCTACTTCCGGGTCGGGGGCGTCTGGCGTGGAGAGTTTGGGGATCTACAGCAACCAAAGGCTTTTCCCTGACTTCGTATGATTGCGGCAGGCGAGCGAGTGAGTCGTGCGTGAGGAAAGAGAGGCAAGGCTTTTCCGAGATCGTCTCAGCGATGGCGCTTCGGTCGCGGTTCTGGGGGTTCTCCGTTTGCAGGAACCCTGGTAATTAGTCTTGGCCCCCTTCGCCCAGCTGATTGGCCAGGGTCTGCACAGTACTTTGGAACGTGCGGATTCTATTGTGTATTCGACGTGCCGGATCGAAATAGAGTTCGCGGCACTGCGAACACCTCAGTAGGAAGTTAAGGAAGGGGTCAGTGCTGATTCCACCCTGTGGGCACACGTATTTTTCGTCCGCTGGGCCTGAAGACTGGGGTGTGAAAGGGGATAGACGTTAGAGCGAGTTCGTGCGCTGTCCGTATCCGTCATTTTTAAGCCCCGTGCGGTTGTTTCCGTTGCCCAGGGTGCAGGTCCGCAGCTCTCTCAACCAGCTCCAAGCCGGCGGCGGAGCCTGAAGTGCACCCTGTGGAAAATGAAGCTGTCGCCCCAGAGTTCACCAATCGGAACCCCCGGAACCTGGAGCTTCTATCTGTAGCCAGGAAAGAGCGGGGCTGGCGGACGGTGTGGCCCTCCCGTGAGTTCTGGCACAGGTAATTAAATCTGCTTGTGATTGACAGAGAAGGACACTGCACCCTACGGACTATTTTATTCGTTCAACGCCAGGCTCTCTCCCAGGTAGCTGCCATGCGGCGGGTAGAGGCAGGGTTCGCGGAGGGGCTGGAACAAACAGCAAATAGGTGTGATGGCGGATATTTAAAGAGGATGTTAGAGTAGCGGACAGGATACCTACTAAGGCCTGTCTGAGGAGGTGACATTTAAGAAGCTGAGATCTGAAAGGAAGAAGCCGAGTCATCTGCCAGAAAGAGCATTCCTAGCAGAGGAAACTGCTGGGGTGTTTGAGGAACTGAAGGGCTTGTGGATGTGAAGCTCAATGGGCAGAGGGTGAATGGCCTAAGATGAACATGGAGGGGTAAGGAGGCGACAGATCATTAACTTTGTAAGTCAGGATGAGCACTTTAGACTTTTTTTTTCATTGTAGTGGGAAACGACGAGAGGATTTAAAGCTTGACCCCGAACTAGTTTTGCAAGATCTTTCTGACTGGGCGCGGTGTCTCATGCCTGTAATCCCAGCACTTTAGGAAGCCAGCCAGGGAAGGCGAATCATCTGAGGTCAGGAGTTTGAAACCAGCCTGGCCAACATGGTGAAACCCCGTCTCTACTAAAAATACAAAAATTAGACGGGCATAGTGGTGCACGCTGTAATCCCAGCTACTCTAGTGGCTGAGGCACGAGAATCACTTGAACCCAGGAGGTGGAGGTTGCAGAGATCTGAGATCGCACCAGTGCACTCCAGCCTGGGCGACAGGGCAAGATTCTGTCTTTAAAAAATAAATAAATAAATAAAAATCATTCTGGCTGGTTTTTGGAAGACTAAATTTTTAAGGGAACGGGAATAGAAGAAAGACCAGCTAGGAATCTAGCATGACATGAGATACTTTGTTATAAAAGTGGTTGTTTAATGAACACTTATATTTGCCAGGAATTATGCTACTTGCTTTATATTTTCTCATTTAATCCTTAAAATTACATCATGAAGCAGTTATTTCCCCCATTTTACAGGAGCAAAGAAATTGAGGTTTAGGGAGACATGATTAATAAGTGCCAGAGCTAAGATTCATGTATGTTCTGACTGACCTCAGGGCCAGGACGTTAAGTTATTACGACTATACTACAGCATGTAGGTGTTTATCAGGTTTCTCTGCTGCTGATCTCCTTGGTGAGGATTTGTTAGAATTTCTTAAGGACTTTAAGGGCTATATAAAGTTATACGAGTAAGTTGGAAATCATAACTATGTGATGTATTATTTATTTATTGACCAAACATTGTACCTATATCACTTGCTGGGCATTGTGTTAGATTCAGGAGGTACAAAGATAAAGTAGAAGTTATCCCTGTCACCAAAAGTCTTAAGTTTCATAGTGGAAAGTGGAATGGGGATAATGATGTGTTACAGTTGCTGTGATACATTTTTACTTATAGAGGAGGGAGTCTTTCAAGAAAGAGATAGGCAGTTCAATTTTTAAATAATCTGGATCTTAAGGCTAAAGATCTTTTGAAACACCCAACCTATTACTTTCTTTTTTGTTTGTTTTTGAGACAGGGTCTGGGTCTGTTGCCCAGGCTAGAATGCAGTGGTATGATAACCTGCTTACTGCATCCTTGACTTCCCTGGGCTCAAGCAATGCTCCCACCTCAGCCTCCTGAGTGACTGGGACTACAGGCGCATGCCACTACTCCCAGCTAATTTGTTTTATTTTGTTTGAGACAAGGTCTGGCTGTGTCACCCAGGCTGGAGTGCAGTGGTGCAGGTATCAGCTCACTGTGACCTCCGCCTCCCAGGCTCAAGCGATTTTCCCATCTCAGCCTCCTGAGCATCTGGGACTGCAGGCACGCACCACCATGGCCGGCTAATTCATTTATTTATTTATTATTATTATTATTTTGCTATTTTTTTGTAGAGATGGGGTTTCACCACTGCCCAGGCTGGTCTCGAACTTGTGAGCTCAAGAGATCTTCGTGGCTCAGCCTCCCAAAGTGCTGTGATTACAGGCATGAACCACTGCGCCCAGGCCCAACGTATTACTTTCACTTAATATTTGGATCATTTAAATAACTAGAGATGTGTTTTCTCATTTTTTCTCTGTCTGCCCTACTCGCAATATTAAAAGCAGAGAATTTCAGAATGTTATAGTAGGAAATGACCTTTGACATAATGAATCAGGCCCTTCATTGAACAAATGGTTTAAGGTGGGTCAGCAGCAAACTGTGGCCCATGGGCCAAAGATAGCTTGTGAGCTGAAAATAGCTTTTACTTTTTTAAGTTAAAAAAAAATCAAAATAACATTTTTTAACTTGTGAAAATTAAATGAAAATCAAATTTCATTGCCCACAAGTTCTTAGAACACAGTTTCTTAGGACATAGCTGTACCCATTCTCATTTGTTTACACATCACTTGGCTGTTCTAGCACTACAGTGGCTGAGTTGAACAGTTTCAACAGAAGCTGTGTGACCTAGAAAGCCTAGAATATTTACTATTTGGCACTTCGTGGCAAAAGATCGTTGACTCCTGGTTTAAGAGATTGTGATTTTTCTCTAGCCTGAGAGACAGACCCTGTCTCAAAAAAAAAAAAAAAAAAAAGGCCATATGAAACTGGACAGGACACAGTGGCTCATGCCTGTAATCTCGGTGCTTTGGGAGGTTGAGAAGGGTGGGTCGCTTGAGGCCAGGAGTTTGATACCAGCCTGGGTAACATAGTGAGACCTTGTCTCTTCAAAATAAAATAAAAATTAGCTTGGTGCAGTGGCATGCACCTGTAATGCCAACTACTTGGGAGACTAAAGCAGGAGAGTTGCTTGAGCCTAGGAGTTTGAGGCTACAGTGAGCTGTGCTCCAAACTGGGTGACAGTGAGACCCTGTCTCTGAAAAATAAAGCCATATGACATGGTTTGATGTCATATTTAAATATGCATACCTTGAGATTATAAAAAAAAATTTAACGTTTTCTGTTAGTACTGTTATGATTTCAGTTTTTACATTTAAATTTTTGCTCCGTCTTATATTTATTTTGGTACTAGCTGTAAAATAAAAGCAAGGAGTAAGTATATCCACATCATGCGTATGTTCAGTAACTTAGGTCTGCCTCTTCAAATCTCTTTTTGAGGTAGATCTGTAAATGAAACTCAGCTCTTCAGAAACAAATTTCTTCATGATAATTGAACTATTTAGTTTGTTATTATTGAGTATATTCTCATAAAGGCGGAGGAAAAACACTTCCCAAGCAAAATCCAAGTTAAATATGTTGAAGTAAATTAACCAAACACTGGATTGTTGAAAAATATTTAGTCATTTATTCACCTGAATTAACGTAACTTTAGGATACAGATTTTTCTGTGATTTTATTATCTTCTCACCCCATTTAGGTTGCGAGTTATAAGGACTCAGCATCATGTAGAAGCACTTGTGGAGCATCAAAATGGCAAGGTTGTGGTTTCGGCATCCACTCGCGAATGGGCTATTAAAAAGCACCTTTATAGTACCAGAAATGTGGTGGCTTGTGAGAATATAGGACGAGTACTGGCACAGAGATGCTTAGAGGCGGGAATCAACTTCATGGTCTACCAACCAACCCCATGGGAGGCAGCCTCAGACTCGGTATTTTTGTTTTCATGTACTTATTGAAAAGGGATTGTGTTAATTCTTGGCATTAGATAACTTACATAATAATAACAGTTTTTACTTAACAAATACTTTCCATATGTCAGATCCTTTGGTGAGTACTCAACAGTGTTACTTAATTTAATCCTCACATCAGTCCATGGGGTAGGGACTAGTATTCTCATTCTATACAGAAATAAACTGAGGCTTACTTGCCCAGCGTCAATGTATGGTGGATTTCAAACCCAGGGTGACTGAATCTGTAGTCCATGATGTCAGCCACTATATTTCCTGTGCATATGTTGACATCTTGTCCATATATTTTGAAATGCTACTGAACCTTGACATCTCTACATTTCCTTTTTACTTAATTATGTCATTATTAAGATTACTTTCTGAAAAACCATTGTAGGCTGGGAAGTTAGCAAGAATAAATCAATTTATTTCTGTCTTTTGGAAAGTGAAAGTATTTTCAGCCTACTGGTGCTGCTGACTTAATCTTTTCCTTTGTTTTCTGATCTTCAAAACCAGATGAAACGACTACAAAGTGCCATGAGAGAAGGTGGTGTGGTACTACGGGAACCTCAGAGAATCTATGAATAAATGAATAAATGGAAGCATTAATTGTTTTGAACATGTAAATATAAAACTGTCAGCCACTACAGCCATCAAAAGAGAGCATCTGGAAGAATAGCCAGCTTGGAAGTTTTACAGCAATAATGTTGCAGTGGAATATTATTTGTAGTTAAGGTCATCCTCCTCCCCTTTCTGTTTTTTTAAATCAAGAACTACATTCTGCCCCTGTCTTGGGCTTCAGAAGCATCTAAGAAAAGCAGTCGTCAATTATAATTAACTTTCAAAGGGCAAGTCAGAAGTTGTTTATAAATTACAAAATAAAGGCATGTTATGAACTCTTATTTTCTGGTTATATAACATTTTGTGTCTGAGCTCACTGTGGCAGTGGAGCACATAATGAGGTTTATGTAAAGCACTTATTACCGTGTCTAGCTCATGACGAGTGATCTCAGTGAATGATAGTTGTTTGCTGCTCCGAGTGTGGGGTGTTTTTTAAAATAAGAAATGTCAACATCAATCTAAGCTTATTATAGAACAGTCAGTATATGAAGATGAAAGGACCAAATGCCAACCTCACTTGGACTCTTGGTTCCCAACAGTAAGAGAGAGAAATTTGAAAGAGGAAGGAGGTGGCATGAGGAACTGAAAGCAGAGGTGGAAATGGATGGGGTTAGTGGGCACTCAATTTGCCATGAAGTGAACATTTTATTAGATAGGAGATGAAACTTGAAATGCATGCAAGTTAATCTAAACTTTGAGCTTGGGTAGATGGAAATCATGGCAGTTCTCTGAAAGGAGCTGATGAAGGTGTTAATTTTTGGCTATTTAATAAATGTGAGGAAAAAACCTGTAGGCAGTTAAGGTGGCTTCTAGAGCATTGTTTTCCAATTTTTTTAAATGTATACCCCAATTACACATTTGTTTAGAAGTGAAATATGTTACTTCTGCCAATTTGAGTATTCGTTGTGTTATTTTAAATAGAATACAAATCTCTATGAAGTAGGATTGGTTCTGAGAGGCCTTCAGAATCATGTGGCTTAATACTCCCCTTTTGCTTACTTAATGTCCTAGGGAGACATTTAAAAGTATAACTGAAGAGCAGTGCCTCACACCTGTAATCCCAGCACTTTAAGAGGCTGAGGCAGTTGAATCACTTGAGGCCAGGAGTTCGAGACCAGCCTGGCCAATATGGTTTAACCGTATCTCTACTAAAAACAAAAATGAGTTGGGCGTGGTGGTGCATGCCTGTAATCCCAGATGTTCCGGAAGCTTACCTGGGAGAATCGCTTGAACTCAGGAGGTGGAGGTTGCAGTGAGCCAAGATGGCACCACTGCACTCCAGCCTGGGTGACAGAGGGAGACTGTCTCAAAAGGAAAAAATAAAGTATAATGGTAATGTTTTCTCCCCTAACCTTAAAGATTGATTTGAGTACCTCAGTTTGAGGACCATAGTTCCAGAATAATAGAAGCCTAGAATTCAAGGGAGGACACTGTAAGGAAGACCATAGACTAGTTGCACTGGAAACAGTAACAAAAGTAAAAATTAAGTTCACATGTAAGTGAAGGTGTAGGTAGGGATTTCTGCAAGGAGTGAGTGCACGAGATAATCCCTGGGGACCAAGGATTCCTTCAATTTAATGGGCAGTTCTTGAGGCTTTGCAAAGTTTGATTGCAGGTGTCAAGACAGTGGTAAGGTGGACAGCAGAATGAGGAAAAAGATGTCCAGGGGCGTGGGAGAGGGAGTGGGGACAGACTAATATTGGAAGTGATGGAGAAGTTGGGAAGAGGTGATTTAGAAGACCGTGAGCCGCAGCAAAGAATCTGCTTGTTGCAGTTGCGTTCGGGGTTGTTCCTGCTCCGCTTTTCTGCTTTCACCCTTTCTGGGGACTCTGTCTTCCTCTCCTGCCACGCCTCTTAACATTCTAAGTCCATGTACATGACATTTTCACGTTAAGGGCTGCAAAGAAATTGCTGAGGAGCCAGGTAAACAGGCATTGATTGCAATTGCAATCAAACCTCTGTAGCAAACCGTACAATTAAAACACCCGCAAGCAGGTGTGGGCGTCGCCAGCCGCAAACGGGGGAGCTACGCACGTGGGGCGGAGGCGCCTGCCTGGTTTCCACCCGCGCGCCCTTTAAGACCCGGCTGCGCGACGGCAGCGCGTGGGCAGCACGTGATAGCCCTGCGCGACTCGGCAGAGCTGCGCGGCCATGGACGTGGGCGCCGACGAGTTCGAGGAGAGCCTCCCTCTGCTGCAGGAGCTCGTCCAGGAGGCGGACTTCGTGGGTGAGGCGCCTGGGATTCGCGGCTGTGCAGGACAGAGCCCCTTGCCCCGGGCGAGCTTGGGGAGGGGGTGGCGGGACGGTTGCCAGGCCACAGGGGCTCAGAGAGGGCCTCAGGAAGGACGGGGGCTTCCTTCTCCAGCCCCGGGGCGGTGGGACTTTGAGCAGCAAGTACACTCCAAGCCCCACGTGCCTTTTGGCCAGAGCCCGGTGCGCACAGGTGTAACCTGGGACGGGGGTGCCTGGCTGCTCCTTGCCTCGGTTCCTCCATTTTCCCTTCCTGACCTCCCCTGGCTTATTGAGCACAGGGGTGAGCCCAGGTGCCTCGGCCGCCTGCAGATCTACAGTGTGTGGAGTGCTGGCGATGTTCTGCACCCGAGGACTGGTATTTTTTTGCCTTCCCGGCAGGTCTGGACATAGAGTTCACTGGCCTTCGATCTAACTTGTCTGGACCCCAGCAGATCAGGTAAAACGAAAACTGTGTCCCCTCTGTATAAGATCCGCTCCAGACCAGCATGGTTTCTGGCCAGCAGCCTGTTGACATCTGGGGGGCAGGACGTTTTGTGTGGCTTGCTCCTACGTGTTGGGGAACCTTGCTTTCGTCCACTAAATGATGGTAGTGTTCCCTAGTTGTTGTAACAAGGAAAAAATCCTCCCCGGTTGAGAGTGGTGATCCTGCCGCGGAGGCCATAGTGCCGGGATGGGATGTCATTGCCCGTGGAGTGAGACGCCTGTTTGTTCACAGTCTTTTTGATTTGCCATCGGAGTGGTACCTAAAGACCCGTCAGAGCATTCAGCAATTTACAGTCTGTCAGATTGGTGAGTTTAATATCCAGCTGTTAGAGTTTTTCAAGAAGGTATTTTTATTGTCTTTGTGTTTCCTACTGTAAAAACAGCTCTGAGATTTTTCAAGAATATAGAGTATTGACTTTGCGTTTCCTACTGTAATAACAGCTCTGAGATTTTTCAAGGATATTGAGTATCATTTTTGTATGCTTGTTTTGTTTTGCGCTATTTTATACATATGGAATGTTTGGGGCCATTTTATACATATGGAATCAACACTTCGGAGCAAACAAACTTTAGCGGCATTATTTCCATGCTTAAATAAGTCAGTGTTAAGGAACAATCACTGTTACTCTTTCAAGTTAAGCTGTGTGTGTGCAATTTTTATTTTATTTTATTTTGAGACAGGGTCTTGCTCTGTCACCAAGGCTGGAGTGCAGTAGCATGGTCTCAGCTCACTGAAGCCTAGACCTCCGGGCTCAAGTGATCCTAGCACGGCCGCCTCTGGAGCTAAACTGAGACTCACTACACACCAGCTAATTTTTTTAAATTTTTTCAGGTGGGGTTTTGCCATGGTTGCCCAGGCTGGGTTTGACTGTCCTGCCGGCTAAGCGAATTTTTCTGGGCCGTGCCTGTCAAGAAGTGGGGTGGAATTACTAGCATTGAGACAACCAGTGGCCGTGATTTTTTTTCGTTTTTTTCTTTTTGTCTTAAGAAAATTTACACACAAAATAATTTTTTCAAAGGTCATCCAGGCTTCAGAAACTTTTTTTTTCCTGGATGGTTTTTTGGAGCTTTCTTTTTCTGTTGTTCTTTTCTTTTTTGAAGGACGGCGGTCTCGTCTGTTGCCAGGGCTTGAGTGCAGTTAGCGCAATCAACTTTACTGCAACTCGCCTGGGCGGGGTTCACTCCCATCTTTTGTGCCCCCGCCGGAAGGCGCTGGCCGCCCCGGCAGCGGGATGCAAGTATCTGCGGATACAGGCTTGGGCCTGCCACAAATGGCCGCGGCAATTTTTTGGTGTTTTTGGGTTAGAGGACGGGGTTTCACCATGTGTTAACCAGGATGGTCTCAATCTACTTGAACCTCATGGATCGCACCGCCTCGGGCCCTCCCGGACGTGCTGGGATTAAGGCGTGAGCGAAGCTGCGGCTCTGGACAAATGGGTTTGGAATCTTTCTTATTAGCTCAGGTACAGAGTCTGGGTTTGTTGATTGTATTATTTATTTGTTTCTGAGATGGGACTGCCTCTGGTTTGCCCAGGGGCTTGGGGAGTGCAGTGCGTGAATGGTGGGCTTCACTGCCCAACCTCAACTCCGCGCTGGGCAGATTCTCCTGGGTCGGCCTCCCGGAGGCAGCTGGGTTTACAGGCAGCAGCCACGCAGCCGGGCTAATGTATTTTTAGTAGCGATGGGGTTTCACCATTGTTGGCCAGGCTGGTCAAGACAGAGCTGTTAACAGTTGCATATTGTGGTTTCTTTTACAACTACTCAATCCTGCTTTTGTAATGTGAAATTAGCTGGAGATAATACATGACCAAGTGAGCATGGCTCCATTCTAGTAAAATGTTGTTATATTTACAGAGACAGACCCTGGGTCAGATTTTACTTTTCTGGGTTTGTCTGTGCCCTGCCCTGGCACCATGGGGTTTTGCTATGTTGCCCAGGCTGGGCTCAAACTTTTGGGCTCTGGATATCCTCCAGTCTCAGTTTCTCAAGTAGCTGGGAGTGCTGCCATGCCCAACCCCTGCTTTTACTATGAATGATGCTGGACATGTGTGTGTTTTCCTCTCTAGCCTGATCCTTTACTACTTTCCTGTTATGGTTTTTTGTTGTTGTTCATTTGTTTTTAATTGTAAGACCTCTTTGAGAAGTATGGGAAACAGTTGTAGTTATGTTTCCATTATTGTACCCAAATTTGAAGTCCTTTTTTGGAGGGTGGGGGGAGGAGACAGAGTCTTGCTCTGTTGCCCAGGCTGGAGTGCAGTAGCTCAATCTGGGCTCACTGCAATACCCCCACCTCCCAGGCCCAAGCGATTCTGCTGCATCAGCCTCCTGAGTAGCTGGGATTACAGGGGTGCACCAACACACCTAGCTAACTTTTGTGTTTTTAGTAGAAACAGGGTTTCACCATGTTGGTCAGGCTGGTCTCAAACTCCTGACCTCAAGTGATCCACCTGCCTAGTCTCCCAAAGTGTCGGGGTTACAGGCGTGAACCACCGTGCCCAACCTGAAGTCTTTTTTTACTTTGCGTATGGTTTTCTTTGAGGGGGGAGGAATAAACACTTTAAATGAGTTAAATATATACATCTTAATGGGTTTTGGTATTTTCTGTGGTTAGTTTTAAAACTATGAGAATGTCACTTTAATATATACTTCTGTATTTGAAGAACAGGCCACAATTAGATTTTAGCAAATTCAGTATGAATTACAATTTGACATTTCTCATGCTTCCAGTCTGTCTGTTCTTGTTTGTTTGTCATTAAAGGTGTTATCCTGTTGTAGAGCCCACGTAGTATCTGTGGGCCCAAAGTACTGTTTGAATTGTTTTGTCTTTGTAGTGAAATTCAGGGCGCTTTTCCTTGGCATTCATTCCCTCTACGGTCATTCTTTCAGGATTGTCTGTGTTTTCCGCCATTGAAGGAGAAGCAAACAAGTACGTATCAAGAGCTTCTGCAAAGGATGTTGCTTGCCCACTTACATTCCACAGCTGCCCCCTTCAAATTCTGCCTCAGATGCCCCAATCACTTTTGCCCTGGATGTTCTGTCTTCTCTCCTGGGTCTGTTCCTCCACTCGCTCTGCCCTCTGTGGATTCCATGTCGTCTTTGACGTCTCTCTGGAAGCAGTACCTTTCGCGCCAGATTCACTGTGTACCTTAAGTGCTCTTGTCCCCATTTCTATCGTTTCCAGTATGCACCTATATTAATAAAAGCACCTGACACAGTGTTGTATAATGAAAGTGATGTTTGAACTACCTGACACAGTAGGCGGAAAGGATGCCTGAACTATCAGGATGCCTCCTCACCCCCCATGAGTAGTTGAGGGTGCCAGCCTGCACGCCCTAACCTGGCATCCCTGGGCGACTTGTGGAGGGACTGTCTCTGTGGTAGACCCTGGCCCTGAAGGCAGGCTCTCTGCCTTTTTCGTTTAGCACCCCCAGTGCCAATCATAGCTCCTGAAACACAGCAGACACTCAGGCACACTCCGATTCTTCTTACCTAAAAGAAAGCGCCCACCCTGAAGCCTGCCCTGGGAACCAGAGTTTTTTTAAATGGTTGTGACTTTTTTCCTGTATGTTTCTTTTATTATAGGTATATAGCCCATTCGTGTAACTTTTTTCTCTTCCCCACAACGTTTGGGATTTTGGACTCAGAATTCTCTTTCCAGGCTTCCAGTGTTCAGTTTTTGAATCAGTATGGCTTCAACTATAACAAGGTATGGCACTGGAGGAGGGGAACGGGAATGTCTTTTGTTTGTTTGTTTTTTGAGATAGAGTCTTGCTCTGTTGCCCAGGCTGGAGTGCAGTGGTGCAATCTTTGCCTCCCAGGTTCAAGTGATTTTCCTGCTTCGGCCTCCTGAGTAGCTGGGATTACAGGCATCCGCCACCACGCCCAGCTAATTCTTTTTGTATTTTTAGTAGAGACGGGGTTTCCCCATGTTGGTCAGGCTGGTCTTGAACTCCTAACATCAAGCAATCTACCTGCCTCGGCCTCCCAAAGTGCTGGGATTATAGGCATGAGCCACCGCACCAGGCTTGGGAATATCTTAAAAGTGATCTAGACTAACTGGCCTATACAGCCCGTCTCCTTTCCCCCTTCTATCTGTCCTCGTGAGATCAGGCACAGAGGATCCCTCTGACTTGTCTCCTTGTTCTGTTTCTGTCTTAAGTTTCTCAAAAACGGAATCCCATATATGAATGAAGAACAGGAGAAGAAAATTCGACACGATATCCTGACTGGGAACTGGAGAGTTCGCAGGTATGGCCTGTTTCTCCAGGTGCCTTTTGGTTTCCTTGTTGCTGTTGTCTGCATTTCCCGTGGGCAGGCATGCTGTTTCCAGGAACGTGGCCACCTCCATCCATACCCGGCGGGGATGGCTTCAGTTGCCAGTGCGACTGGTGCTGCTCTCCATGTGACTGAGCTGAGAATGACTTTCACCTGTCTCCATCATGTGCCACTCCCTCATGAACCTCTTACTGCGTCGAGTGTGAGTTTCCGTGTTGAAAAAGAAACTGACTCCTAATTTGGAACTCAAAGAAACAAGAATTCCATTCCAGTGCTAGAGGGGAAGAAATGGCTCTGTTGGACTTGCTGTGAGATGTTATGTTGATCCCCCATGTGATCTTCTGAGGGATTTTTCAAGGCTATCTCACGGGCAACCTTGACTGTACCAGTCGTACTGGGCACTGACTTCAGATGTGCGCCTTAGTTAGGCTGTGTCTGCCCCACCGTGCCTGACCCTGCTGCCCTAGGCTGGAGGCCGGGAACTCTGCCTTTTTACTTTGGCCATCTGTGCCAGCCCAGTCTCCGAAACCTCATATTCCTGTAGAGCTGGGGTCAGGAGTGACCACAGTGAGAGCAACAGCATTGTGGGTAGACGGGCCAGGGGGCCTTGGGGCTGGCACCCTCACCTGGAGCCAAGTGCTGTCAGCTAGGTGTGGGTTTGAACAAGGCATGGAAGCTCTTTGCCTTTATCAGGAAAGGGGAGATTAAATGAACAACTGAAACGAGATGAGTGATGATCTCTTCCAGATAATTCTGTTCTGTTAGAGGAATTTTTGTCTCTTTGTATTTTTCCTGCTGGTTTTCATATAAAAATGTAGCTTTTTGTAAGGGAAAAACAAGTTGAATTTTTAACCTTCTTTTATTGTCAAGACTTAGAGAAAGCCCTTTCCTTATCTCAAAATGATATTAGGTTCTGTGTCTGACACAAGAGACAATGTGTTTACCAAAGTCCTTGTCTTTTCCTGATTGTCCCAGATAAGGACTTTATCACCCCTGAAAGCTGAATAAAGAAGACGGTCCTGATAGCAATGCTTGGTATTGGCTGGATCCCAATAGCTTTTCCTCCACACATCCTAGTGAAGCAGGAGGGGATTGAATATATGCCTGGATCCTGTGGAAGGGTGTGGGCTATTCTTCTGATTGTTTGGCTTCCTATTGCATAAGAGCCTCAGAGAAGAAACCGTCTTCTTTGGGTTCATTTTCTTTGTAGATTGCAACATGAAAACCAGAGGGCTCAGAAACTGCTCTCATGTTAACATAGTCATGCGGTTCTGATGTGTTTTTCTCTGACATTTTCACTTTTCATGCGCCCATTTTCAGCTCTCCGGATAAAGACCAAATCAAGGCGGTGATTGACAAAGTGACACGGTGGCTGGACCTGGCCAAGGAAGGTGACTGGATGACTCTTCCTGGGATCGCTGGTAGGCAGGGGCTGTTCCTCCCAGCGCAGGAGCATTGGGACAGGTCACTGTCACCTGCCAGGAGTTGGGGGAAACACACCCTTTCTTGGGATCCTGGTCCCAAATGCCTCATGACTGAGTCTGATGCCAGCCAGCATTTGTTCAGGAGATACATAGTCTTTGTGGTTAAAGCTCTGACCTGCATTCACATGTTGAAGGCTTTCAACACACTTTGGGTTTCAAGACCGAGAAGATCAAGTTCCATTCCTGAGCCATCCCTTTTATCTCAGTCCTGCATACCCTGTATTATTTTGACTTTTGTTAATCTCTAAACTTTTCCCCCACCGTGTGGTGTGGAGCCATAGTAAACGTGCCATAGCTTAGCAGCTCTCAGAGGCTGGTCTGTGGATCCTAGAGTCTCTGGGACCTTTTCCAATGGGTCTATGAGGTCAGAACAGTTTTCCAAGCATCCCTCAGCTGTACTTGCTATTGTCATTGTGCCATTTTGGTGCCCAAGCAATGTCGGACAAAGCTGTTGGCACCTCAGCACAAATTAAGGCAGGAGCCATCATACCGTGTTCTTCGTTACCACTTACTCTCAGTTAAAAACGGAAAAGCCAATCTTACTAGCAGCCTCATTAGTGAAAAAGTAATATTCTTGGTTGTATTAAATCTCAATCTTTTGATTACTCATCTTTTAAATATTATATGTCAATATAGGTATGTAAAAAATAAGTATGCATAAAACATTGCTTGGCTGTGTGCCAAAATATGGTGATTGTGTCAAGGAAAAGTGCTTGTGCATGCAGTCTTTTGAGTTGAGAGCTGAATTAGCTGCTTTTTTTTTTGGTATGGTTTTGCTCTTGTTGCCCAGGCTGGAGTGCAATGGCATGATCTTGGCTCACTGCAACCTCCGCCTCCCAGGTTCAAGTGATTCTCCTGCCTCAGCCTCCTGAGTAGCTGGGATTACAGGTGCCCACCACCATGCCCAGCTAATTTTTTCATTTTTAGCAGAGACGGGGTTTAACCATGGTGGCCAGGTTGGTCTTGAACTCTTGACCTCAGATGATCTTCCCAAAGTGCTGGGATAACAGGCATGAGCCACTGCACCCGGACCCATGAAATATCATTTTTACTGGAAAGAACTGATTGGTTGCTTAGACTTGAAGGTTTCACAATCATTTTCTCAATGAAAAAAGCTTGTTGGCCGGGCACAGTGGCTCATGCTTGTAATCCCAGCATTCTGGGAGGCTGAGGCAGTGAGCCGAGATGACGCCACTGCACTCCAGCCTGAGCAACACAACGAGACTCTGTTTCAAAGAAAAAAAAAAAAAACAAAAACCCTGTCACTTCAAGGAAGATAACTCGCAGTATTTCCTAGTGATAAAATTACAGCTTTCAATCCAAAACTGGAATTTTGAAGAATTTACATGTGCCACCATAAGCTTGACAGCTTCCCAGTGCCACAGCCTTTCTGATGAGATCAGTGATCATATTTACCAGCGTCTTCTGTTGGTGTTGTGTAATAATAACATGTGCAAACATTCAAGAGACCTACATAACCCTGCCAACCAGTGGTTTCCAAACTACTAGCACATGATGTTACTATTGTGCACTATCTTTTCTCATGGATAAGGGATCTATTCTAGGTATGAGATAGGCCAGTGGATTGTAATGTAGCAGTACAAGAAAACTCATTAATGATGGTTTCAGATTCCACATTGCAATTAATCTTTAAGAAACTACCACTTGCTGAATTTGGTACAGTTTTAAAGAATATTCAAAGTCATTTGATAAGGCTGGTAATTCTGTTCCCTTTTCCACCTACATATCTGCTTGAGGCTAGATTTTCTTTTTCTTTTTCTTTTATTTTTTCTTTTTTGAGACAGAGTCTCACTCTTGTTGCCCAAGCTGGAGTGCAGTGGCACCATCTCGGCTCACTGCAACCTCCGCCTCCCAGGTTCAAGGGATTCTCCTGCCTCAGCCTCCTGAGTGCTGGGATTACTGGCACCCGCCACCATGCCTGGCTAATTTTTGTATTTTTAGTAGAGTCAGGGTTTCACCACGTTGGCCATATTGGTCTCGAACTCCTGCCTAAGGTGATCTGTCCTCCTTAGCCTCTGAAAGTGCTGGGATTACAGGCATGAGCCACCACGCCCAGCCTTGAGGCTGGATTTTCTTCTGTTTCAACGGTCACATTCCAGCCAAATGTTAGAGATTTGCAAAAATGTAAAACTGTCACTTTTCTCTCTAAAGTTTTTGTTTTAGAAAATAGTTATTTTTTATAAGTGTTACTTTTGTTCTTGTATGCTGGGTTTTTGTTATTTAAAAAACATTTTTTAAATGTAAGAGTTTTAATTTCTAACATACTTAATAGCTGTGACTCACATAAACACAGACTCTATGGCATCCCCTACTTAAGAGTGGTCCTGAGATAAATAACTCTTAGAATGCTGCCCCAGATCCCATCATGACAGGCCAGACCCTGCCACATGGCTCGTGGGCTTAGACACCCTTCAAGCTGCCTTTCCACTTGACCTCTCCATCTCTCAGCTTCTGCTCCTCCGGGGCTTCTCTTGTGGGGAACATGCCACAAGGTTCCAGGTACTGTGTGCCCCTGTGTTTCCCTGCTGCAGGCTTCCAGGCCTTTGAGGTCCAACTGGTGCTGAGGCAGGCCCTCCCCGACATCTGGACGGTGCTGAAAGATGAGGGGGTGAGTTTTCACCTGAGACCAGGGCGTCAGTGGCTCCATCGTTTCTCTCTCATTTGGCCAAATCTGGCCTCTGAAAAGCTTTTCTCTTGCACACTGCTAGTTTTTCCCCCTTTCCTTTTGTTTTGAGATGCAGAGCCGTTTCTTTAGGCCTCATTCCCAGTAACCCAGGATTCAGGGCATTTGTCCCTGCTTTTCAGGTGGTAGTGAAGAAAGTGAGTAAACAACATCGTTGGTATCTTCAGAACACCTCTTGTGACCAAGAGAGCTGTTGGAAGGAAAATATTCTTCTCTCTGCAAGGGGTTTTTCTGTCTTTTTCCAAATGCTGGTGAAAGCCCAGAAGGTAGGAAAACATGTCTCTTCTTGGCCTAAAGGCAGCCTTCTGTATTTCTGGTCAGAGACACTGAAAGCTCCTTCAACAACAAGATAAAATTCCTTAAGATAAGTGATTCCTTCTCATTAATGTTTTTCATGTTTTACTTTCAGACAGGGTCTCACCTGTCACCCAGGCAGGAAGGAGTGCAGTGGCACGAACACGGCTCACTACAGCCTTGACCTCCCAGGCTTAAGTGAGACTCACACCTCAGCTTCCCGAGTAGCTGGGACTACAGGCACATGCCACTATACCTGGCTAATTTTTGTTTTGTTTTTGTTTTTGTTTTTGTTTTTGTTTTGTAGAGACGGAACCTTGCAGTGTTGCCCAGGGTGGTCTCGAACTCCCGGGATCAAGTAATCTGCCTGCCTTGGCCTCCCAAAATGGTGGGATTACAGGCGTGAGCCACTGCACCTGGCCTTCCTTCTCATTTATAACTAGCTTCGTGGATCTAACCTTGCTTTCACCAAATCATGATAGGTTAATTTGGGGCAAGAGTATCCATAAGAAACAGTACTACTTCTTTGCTCCTTTCTGTAACGCAGGAATTTCAGTACTAACTGATCTAAAACTACTTGGGAAACTGCAAGCGCCTGCTTCACAGTATAGATTTCCAGCGCAGACCCTGCCTTACGTGCCTCCTACTTGCGAATTATTTTCTTTTTTCTTTTTGTTGTCATTTAAGCAGTTGAACTACCTTTCATGGAGGCAAAGGAAGGTTAGGATGGAACTGTCAAGTGATCAGAATTGTAGTGGGTTCTAATGCTACATCTCTTGCAAGAAACAGTCTGTAGTGTCTGTATTACATTTTTTATTTTCTCTCACTTGTTGATTTACTCCCAAGTAGCCCTTAGTGGGACATAATATGATGATGGACCTGCTGCACCTCCATGAGAAGTTCTTCAGACCCCTCCCAGGTAGGAGCAAACCTGTCATTTCTCTTCCTTCATGCTGGTTTGCCATCTGGCAGAGGGACGGGTCCAGGATCGTACTCCTGAGGCAGCCCCTAAAATGCACATTCCTCCCCAGTGTCTGCAGGTTTCTGGAGAGTTCGGGCAGAGGCCTGTACTCTGATCTGTTACTGTCTCCACAGAGTGGAAAACCAGGAGACTTTGTCAAGGGGAAAAAAATTAAATTTGAATTGATACCTCTCTCCCCATTAGTGAAGCTGTTCAGAGTTACTGTATAAAACTTGACAAAATCAGAAATGCGTGAAGTCAGAAGTCACCTTTAATCAGCTAGTATCCTGAATTTTTTACATATTTGATTACACTGTATGTAAATATGTAAATGTATGTAAAAATGTAAATATGTAAAGATTTGATTTTTGTTTGGCTTTTTTTCCACTTACCCAAAGCATTATTTTATGTTGTTAAAAACCTAATAGGCCGGGCACAGTGGCTCAAGCCTGTAATCCCAGAACTTTGGGAGGCCGAGACGGGCGGATCACGAGGTCAGAGGATCGAGACCATCCTGGCTAACCCAGTGAAACCCCGTCTCTACTAAGAAAACAAAAAACTAGCCGGGCGTGGTGGCGGGCGCCTGTAGTCCCACTACTCGGGAGGCTGAGGCAGGAGAATGGCGTAAACCCGGGAGGCGGAGCTTGCAGTGAGCTGAGATCGCGCCACTGCACTCCAGCCTGGGCGACAGAGCGAGACTCCGTCTCAAAAAATAAAAAAAAATAAAAAAATAAACCTAATAAATGCTGCTTCAGTGTCATGTGACACTGTCTTCTGGCTGTCCCCTGCTCTTCCATGGTTGATTCCATTACTGGACATGCAGTGGTGCAGCCTAGTGGGTAAAAGTGGGGACTCGAGCCTTGGTGGTCTCCTCCGTCCCACATTCATGACGTGTGTAGTCACCAGCGAGTTGACATTACCTTAATTGTAAGATTGGGATAATAGTGCCAATATCAGAGTGGTTGTGAGATTAAATGGATTAATATATAAAGAACACTAATGTAGATTAAAAGGGGTAAGAAAGTCTTAGGAGACATTTCCCCAAGAAATGATAAAACACCTGAGTTTAGGCATAATGAGAGAGTTGGAGGAGAATTAGCGGTGAAATTAATAATATGCATTCACCAAAAAACTAAGTACGACAAAATAATCGCTGGGAGAACAAAAGCTGTGCAAGAAAGGAGAAGTCATTGTAGCCACCACAGAGCCTTTTGTGAATGACGTGCGTGGGGGCGACAGAGATGAGCACGTGGTTGGAGGTGGAATGAGAGGGGTCATTACCCTGTCAGCTGGTGGAGGTCAGGAGTGAGGTGTCTGACACTGCACCGCGCATGTGCTAGAGAGATGGGAATAAATACCAAAAACAGGAACAGCAAGTGGTTGCCTTTGGGGAGTAGGAAATGTGAGAGTAGCGGGAAGAGAACACAGGGTTGTGTTTTTGTTTTAGTGTGTGTTTTGCAATAACCCTCTTTAGATGCAGGTATAATTTTACCAGCTGAGTTCTTACATAAATTTTCTTTTACCAGGACACTTTGCTAGTTATAATTTTTAGTTGATTTTTTTTCTTAGATTTTCCTCTGAGCAGTTATTTACAAAGGATTTCATGTCTGCCTTTCTGATAATACTTCTGTTTTTAAGTCTTATCCCATCGGCTAGAACTTCGCAAACTACGTTAAGGTTGGCAGTAGAACGCATCCTAAATTTAAAAGAAAACCATTCGGCCTCTACTATTAAAAGTGGTGATGGCAGGTTGATCTGAGTTTAGAAATCCTTAGTGGCTAGGATTAATGGTGTTTTCAATTCCTATTTTGTTTCAGTTTGCTTTATTAATCAGTGCCAGTGGCAAGCTAGGTTCAAGATGTTCCTTCCCATTTTTGCCAACAAACAAATTCACTCTTGACTACCTGGGTTTTTCCCCTCAGAAAGCTACGATCAATTTAAGCAGAATATCCACAGCCTATTTCCTGTTCTCATTGATACCAAGAATGTAACAAAGGATATCTGGAAGGTAATGAATAGAATTGCTTCGGGTTAAGGACTGTTTTTTCCATACCAGTAACACTTGGCTTTCTCTTGTGGGGTTTTTTTTCTTGTTTTTGTTTTATTTTGTTTCCTGGTTTTTTTGTATTTTTTTTTTGAGAGGGAGTCTTTCTCTGTCACCCAGGCTGGAGTGCAATGGTGCGATCTTGGCTCACTGCAACCTCCGCCTCCCTTGTTCAAGCGATTCTCCTGCCTCAGCCTCCTGAGTAACTGGGATTACAGGCACACGCCACCATGCCCTGCTAATTTTTTGTATTTTTAGTAAAGACGGGGTTTCACCGTGTTAGCCGGGATGGTCTCGATCTCCTGGCCTCATGATCCACCCGCCTTGGCCTCCCACAGTGCGGGGATTACAGAGGTGAGCCACCGCGCCCGGCCAGCCACTTGTGTTTTTTAAAGTTGTTCCTGGATACTTTTCTGTCTTCAAACCAGTATCAGTTGCCTTTTGTATTTTGGCACCTGTGGGTCATTGTATTAGCTTATGTATGACTTTTATTCCCTTCCTCTCATTCCAGTTTCCACATTTTGACTGATTTGTATAGAGTTTCTGTGTTTAGATCAGACAACAGAACAACTTATTTTAGAACTTAATGCATGCCTTGGGAATATTTGCAAGATGTGTACAGAGCACGGGGGAGGAGGTTCCCTCCTGAAGAATCTTGAGAAAACCTCTTCTTTCTTGAGCCCCCCAGTCATGGGTTCAGCCCCGACGACATGTTAGAATCACGTGGGAAGTTGAAAATGCTGATAGCCAGGCCGCACTGGCAGCTTCTTGTCTGACCTAGAGTGAGGCCACATGGTATTTCTAAAGCTCCCCCGGTGATTCTGTTGTGGGGTTGAGGCTATGCACCATGTATAGACAAGAGAGACCCAGCTGGTTTACATGCTGCTTAGAAATGAAACAGAATAGCCAGGCACAGTGGCTCACACCTGTAATCCCAGCATTTTGGGAGGCTGAAGTGGGTGAGTGGCTTGAGCCCAGGAGTTTGAGACCAGTCTGAGCAATGTGGGTGAAACTCCATCTCTACAAAAAGTACAAATATTAGAGGGGCATGTTGGTGCATGCCTGTAGTCCTGGCTACTTGGGAGGCGTAAGTGGGAGGATCGCTTAAAGCCCGGGAGGCAGAGGTTGCAGTGAGCTGAGATTGCACCACTGTCCTCCAGCCTGGGCAACAGGGAGACCCTGTTTCAAGGGAAAAAAAAAACAACAACTGAGGAACAGAGAAGGGGGCATCAGATCAATGTTGTGAAGCCTTAGGGTGATCCCTTAGAGTGAATTATCCAGGAAGGGAGCCACACAGATGGGAGTGGGGTATGTGGTCTGTGTCTGCCCAGAGGCTGTTATTATTTGTACTTGGCATATGTCCAGCTACTATGAAGTTTTAGGGTTTAGTAACTAGGCATTGCCCCTCGGCCCTCGAGGCCTTAGAATGACTGTATTCTACATGTATGTCCCTGGCCTATGTCCTAGTGCCTTGCTTCCCTTTGTTTATAGATAATCTCTTGAACACATCTTCTGAGGGAGATGGTGTGTGTAGTTTTTTTCTAGCCTGGGTTTATGGGAGCCCTTATAGGAAACCCAGGGATGCTGGGGTACCCTGACCTCTTAACTAAGGAATAAGGATAGTTGCACTATTTGAAGAGAAAGAGGAGGTTGTAGGAGCGAGCATTTTCCAGGCCGTTTTAATGACCATTTGGTCCTGCCTGAGATAGAGAATTAACAAAAGCGCAAATGTTTTCCTCTGGTTTGTTTTCCATCATCGTAGGAGATGAATTTCCCGAGGGTGTCGAATCTTTCCGAAGTCTATGAAGTCCTGGACAGGTGAGGACGGCCATTCCTGGAGCTGCTGCTGGAGCAGGGTCTGCAGCTGTGGCGGCCTCCCTGTGCCCCACAGGGCTTTGGGCTCTCTAGGCGCGCTCACCCTTCACAGTGATGCCTGCTTGGGACTTGGTCTGCTCCAGCTCCTCCTGCTTCATGGCCCTCTTCCTCCGATGACCCTCTTGCCTCAGTTTCCAAAGAGAGAGAAGCCAGAGACAGGAAATCTCTCAACCCCTGCCTCTCAAACAGTTGTACGCGCCCCTTTTTCATTGTCTCGCCCCTGTCACCAGCAAATGGGGCACCTTCCCTGTGTGAGGCCAGGCGGGAGAAGCTGCCACCTACTCGTCACCTTCACCCTTGCTGGGTGGCTCCCCACCCCTACCTGCCCCTTCCTGGGGTGTCTCCACCTCTTTTTGTCTCCCTCTCATTTCCTTCCACATCAACAAGTGTTCTCCTAACTTAACAACAAAACGTCCTGAACAATCCGTGCTCTTCTTCCCCACAGCCTGTGGCAGGCAGGGCCTTGTCTCCTTCACTTCTGCTCTCTGCAGGGGCACCCAGAGCCACCGGTCTGTCCCTACTCAGCAGGACGCGGCACAAGAGGCGTTTGGAACAGGGGTGGCACCCTGTTCTGGATGTGCGTGTGCGATTTTTTTAAACCCATTCCTTGTGGTTCGTGTTCTCTACCTGTCTCCTAAGTTTTCTCTCAAGGGCCCCTCCTCAGCCCTCTTCCTGCTCATTCCCAGGCTCCCGTGTGGCCTTGTCCACCCGCTGGGCTTCAACTCCCAGCACCTGTGTATGGCTGCAGTCCAGACCTCAGCATCTAGGACACCGCGTTTACAGTGTCTTGTTGATGTTCCCACCCCGCATGACTTACGGGCACCTTCAACCTGACACTCCTGTCTGTCCCTCAGGCACACTCCAGTGCCTGGAAACTTGGAAGTCTTGATGGTACCAGGCGTGATACTGGGGGCTGTGTGTGCATGAGAGGGTGAAGGGCAGAGGGAGTTTTGTTGTAAATGCACAGGCTCTGATTCCAGACTTCCTGGGTTTAAATCACAGCTTTGCCACTCACTGGTTTTGTGAGTGACCTTGAGAGAATTACTCAATCTCTCTGTGCCTCAGTTTAACCATCTGTGAGATGAGAAAATCGTGTGTCACTCCAAGGTTGTCGTGAGGATTAAATGAGTTCGTAGATGTGGAAGGACTTAGCCCCTGGCATGGAGCCCAGGTCTGTTGAATCTTAGCTACCGCTGTTGACAACTATCCTGATCTTAACGGACAGCTCAGGCCACACCCACGGCGACAATGCCTGTTTGACAGATGGGGACATTAGGGCTCAGGGAGGCTAAGCACATGAGGTTCCAGAACATCGTATTGAAAACCAGTGAAATGAAGGTTTCCTTGTCATACGCCATCTCCATTCACCCAGGTCCCGGAGCCAAGACCTAGAAGGGGTCACAGAGCTGAGTTGCTCACGTCTATTGAGTCAAGTTTTATGGACTGGACCCTGTAAATCTCTCAAACCTCTCCTTTCTCTGCATTCTCAGGATTATTATCTTTTCATTCCAACCATGGAACTGTGGTAGTAGCCCCGGAGTGGTGTCCCAGCCTTGTGGCCTGCCCTCTTCATACCCCACACCACCCTTGAATGATGATCTAGAATGTGAATTTGAATGAGCTGTTTTTTCTGGTCAGAGTCTTTCTGTGGCTTCTGAAGTCCCTGTCTGTGGTAGGGGCTCTTCCCCAGCCTCTGGCCCTCCCTTCACATGGAAGCTTCAGCCCCACTTCTCACCTCACAGCTCCTGGGGTCAGACGTCCTTCTTTTCCTCACTGCCTTTGCCTGCTCGAAATGCCTGCCATCTTCCCATTCCTTGAACCCCGTTGGTTCCTGTGGTTTGGGACTCTCCATGAGTGCTGTCTGCTTCCAGAAGCCTGCAGGGTCCTGGCATGGCTGTCATACCTCAGGCCTTGCATTTACAAGAGACAGGCATAATTGTCTCTGTAGTTGTCACTGGACAGGCCACTGGACAGCTCCGGAGGACAGAGACAGCGTCTTGTCTGTCTTGGTGCCTGGACTCAAGGGAAGCATTTGATAAATGCCCCTCCTGCACCATTGTTCTTTCCCCTGTCCTGTTGCCCAGTTACCAAGACGTTACCTGTCCATGCCTAGATTCGCACCTTGAAGATATGTCCCCAGTACATTTAAAAAAATTTATATTAACTTAAGGGACTGAGGAGAAAACAAGGGATTACTTTCAGCAAATTGTTCTTTATTCTATTTTTCTTTTCTAATAGTGACTTGAATCCCACCAAGAATTCTGGACCAGAGATTGTTCACGCAAGCAGGTGTGAGAAATACGGTACGTTCCCATGAGCCACACTCCTTGCACGGTCGGCAGAGTGCTGAGGTGCTCAGCTGAGCTTGTCCTTGACCCTGGTTCCCCCGCCCCACCCACCCCCTCGCCCCCCACGCCCACCCCCACCCCATCCCCGCCCCATCCCCGCCCCGGACAGCAATGGAGCGGGAGGTTTGTGTGGGGTTTTCCTTTGCTTACTCCACGTAACTCCTGCCCCAAATGAGCGAGCCCAGAACGCATCCAAGAGCCCTGGGAGTTGTCCGTTTCCTCCTTAACATGGTCTTTAGTCCACAAGGCAACTCTGAGCTTGGGGCTTTCTCCACCATGGGGAGGACCAAGGTGAAGTTGGTGTGTGGGCCCGCGGAAGGGTATGCAGGACCATGGGGAGGTTGTATGAGCTGCCGCTGCCGTGGATAGTGAGCTAGGATGGGGCGGGTTTCTCATGACTGCTCAACTCTCTCTCCTCCTGGTGGAAAATGCCTCAGTTAAGACAAAGTGCCCCCACGAAGCTGCGTATGATGCCTTCCTCTGTGGGTCAGGTAAGGATTGTGGTTCCTTTAAAAGGAAACTGTCTGTCTGTCTTTTTTTTTTTTTTTTTTTTTTTTTTTGAGACGGTCTCACTTTGTTGCCCAGGCTAGAGTTCTGTGATGAGGATCTCGGCTCACTGCAGCCTCTACCTCCTGGGCTCAAGCGATCCTCCCGAGTAGCTGGGACTACAGGTGCATGCCACTACACCTGGCTAATTTTTGTATTTTTTTAGAGATGGTTTCACCATGCTGCCCAGGCTGGTCTCAGACTCTAGCAATCTGCCTGCCTCGGCCTCCCAATGTCCTGGGGTTACAGGCATGAGCCACCACACCCAGCTGGAAACTTACTTTTTGTTGGCACTATGCCCCTGCTGTCCCTAGATTCTGCGTTTATTTCAGATTGGCTTGCACATAATGAGAGAAAGCATGAGCATGCACATTTTGATAAGCTCTGTTGTACTACTTTTTTCCGTCCTAGTTCTTTTGAAAGTGGCACACTTGCTTCTACAGAAGATACATGGGTAAGTGTTCTTTCTTTTCATCCTGCTATTCAATCAGTGCTCAGGATTTATTGAGCCTTTGCTGGAAGCCAGCACCTCCCCAGTCCCAGGGTCCTACCAAAGAATGGAGAATGTGAAGTGTCGCCGGTATAGAAATCTTGTCCCTGACTGGGCAACAGCCCACAAATGGCCCTGTGCCACAGGAGTAGCCTTTCCTACCACCCCTGCACCTGCCTGTATGAGTCGTGGCTCCTCATCCCCACAGATGTCAGGAGGCCAAGGCAGTGGGGTTAGGCTTAGGTTCTGACACCTGTCTCAGTCCTTCCCAGCCTGGTATGTGTGCTTGATCTGTTTCTCACTTGTTTTCTTATAGCCACGTAAGCAACAATGAGGTACGAGGAGAAAGTGTTCAGGTCAATGAATGACATATCCATTGTTGGGGGGCACATAGGCTGGGGAGAGATGAATGGAACCCCACATTGGAATCTTCTGTGCATTTCCCCATGGCAATACCATCCTTGATGCCTGCAGCCCTGGGCACATAGGCACCAGAAACACATTTGCAGTGTACACGCTACAGCACCGTCCTTGGCATGCACATTTGTTATGTAGGACTTAGCCGGCCAGGTGAAGGAGCCAGTCAGAATTCTAATGTGTGCTTTGGGATTGATGTAGAAACATCTTTTTGGATTATAATCTGTTAACTTGGGTCTTGCCTATATTTGTCCATTTTGGCAGTGGATGTTATAAATACAAACATGTGTTCTGTGACACATGGATGGGAAGCTTATTTCTTAAATAAGAAATGCGCCAGCCTCACCCTCTTTCTTGTGGTTTGGCTGTTTATGGGCCCCTGGTGAGTATGTGTGTGCTGGACAGGGAAGGCGCTGGCAGTAGTGGAGCACCTCAGTGCCCCGGGTCACACATCTTCTATTTCTTTTAATCCCCGTGGCCTAAAAGCCCTCCCTGCCTGTCTGTGTGGCCCGTGGTTTTGCTGGGGCCTGTTCTCGGGTGTGTGTGCTCCCTGGACACTGCGTGGCCCGTGGTTTTGCTGGGGCCTGGGCTCGGGTGTGTGTGCTGCCTGGACAGAGGGGGCGCTGGCAGTGGAGGAGGCTGTGGGATGAGGGATGCCCTTTTGAAATCAAGGTTGATGTCATGCCAAGTGGGGACAGCATGGGGCTTTCTCTGAATCGTGGTCTCGCGCTGATTCTCTGAGCCTGTTGCTCTTTGTCAGCAGTGGGACCCTCACCAAGCCATCACCGGCAGATGGTGACTGTCCGGAAGCTCTGTTTCCGTGTGGGCCACTGAGAATGCTTTAAGATCGGCCAGCTGGGGAAGCACCCAACCAGAGCCCCAAGACTTGTGAGGGCAGGAGGGGGAGAGAGCCATCCGAGGCAGTGTCCTTCTCCTGTTCTGTCACAGGATTCTTGGCTGTGACCGAGGAAATGGATGAACTTCCGTGTGCCCAACAGCTTTGGGGTTTTCTGTCCTTGCAGCATCGACCCCGTGCCCGAGTCGTCCTTTCCTCAGTACCTCGACGTGCTGGCTCCTTACGTGAACCAAGTGAACCTCATCCGCGCGGGGGTCCCAAAGATCGTGAGTTGGTCTTATTTAGCCCCCTTGCCCTGTTCAGAGTTCAGAGCCTTCGCTGAGAAGCGGCCAGTGCTCTCTGGTACTCGTGAGAGGGATTTCAGTGGTTGAGGAAATAAGAGCTGGCTTTTCCTTTCCTCTCATGTTTCTCCACCAAGGCCAACATGGACTCATCCTTCCTTCTCTTCCCCTCCCCACCCCAAGCAGAGCCTTTCCTAGTTTCTCTTGAGATCTTCAGACTAGATAAGAAGTCAGGAAGCACTGTGGAAAATCTCTTGTGTTCTGCATGTTTTCTAGAATTTTTCTGGTCCAGATTATCCCAGTATCCGACCTCCCATCCTCATCCTCAGCATCAAAAGGTGGCCCGGGGTCAGCGAGCAGCAAGTCTATCATAAGTTTCAGAATCTCTGCAAGTTTGATGTCAGGCGACTCACAAGAAGCCAGTTCTTACTCCTGACCAATAAGTTTAAGGAGTAGGTGCCTCTAAGTCCGCGTCCCCCACGCCTCCTGCATTCATCCCTGTATGTCTCTGACTCCACCCGCCTGATCACAGCAGGCGGCGCGATCCTGTTGCCTGGCTGACCATAGCAAACTTGTTTTGGCAGCGCGCGGAACGTCCTGAAGGAGTACCGGGGCCACCCGACCCTGTGCATCTCCCTGTACCGCTACTGGAGGCACTCCCCAGACGTCAACTGCGTGCTCCAGTAAGTGCTGGGCTGAGGCCGCCTGCCTGTCCCGGGGTCCCAGCATCCCAGCGTGGTCTGACTCGAGCACAGCTCGCTCACTGGTGTGTGTTGCCAAGGGGGTTGTTGACGAGTGTGGTGCCCTGAACATCATTCAGTGATACACACCGCTTGTCTGTGGAGTGCCTGGTGTGCTGGGCACCGTCGTAGTTCTGGGGCCTCGTCAGTGAAGCAGTAAATTCCCGCTCTCATGGAGTTTACGTGCTGGGGGAGATAAACAGGATAAACAAGTGTACCCTATAACGTATTGGGTGACAAGTGTTTATTAAAAATGAGAGAAGGGTCGGGGTGGATGGCAGGCTGCAGTTCAGAGGAGCTGATGGGGGTCCTCATTAGAGACTTGGAGTGAGCCAGACAGAAGGGACAGCGGGGCGGGGCCTTCCAGTCAGGAGGCGCCAGGAGAGTCACAGGGAGAGGCTGCTGTGAGCAGAACAGCAAGGAGGGGACACGGGAGAAGGAACCGGGGCCCCCCGGGTGGGGGCCACCCAGGGAGGACTGGGCTTCTCTCAGGAGAGAGGGAATCGCGGAAGTTACGGCAAGAAGGTCGATGACCCGACTCAGGTTGTCTTCCATGTGGGGTAGACCATAGAGGCAGCGCCGTGAGAGCGGTCAGGAAGGAGATGCTTCAGCTGGGTCACAGCTCAGTGCAGCCGGGGGCAGCGGGGTGGAGTCAGTGACAGACCAGAGAAGGATCAAGTGGGAATCCAGGGTTCGGGTCCTGAACAACTGGAAAGGCAGAGTTGCTGTCAGTTGAACTTGGTGAGGTTCTGGCTTGTGGGTTAGGGGCCACATCCGTTAGAAAACAGCATTGCTGAAGAAGCACACTGAGCTCCGTCCGCTGCAAACCCTTTTTCTTTCAACCTGCGGTTTGCATCCCAGAGCCAGCCTAACCTCGAGAGGCGAAGTTCAGCGTTGGCACCAGGAGAGTGACGAAGAGGAAGAACATCTGAGTGCACAGGGCTGGGAAGGAAGAGGGGCGAGCCTGCGTCGGTACCTCTTGCCCTGCTGGGTGCCCCGGCCACTGATACGTGTCATTGTCTTGCAGAGTCTGTGGCATAGTGACTGCCTGGGCCCTTCTCGCGTTCATCTTCGGAAGATCTGGTCCCTGAGCGCAGCGAGGCCTCCTGCGGCCACCCTCAGGTCCCCGTGCTCTCTGGAAGGTGTGCTGGGTGTGTTTGTGTAAATCAGATTCTGTTTGCAGATGGATCTGTTTGGTCGTTTCTAGAAATTCTGTTATGTCCTGAACACGAAATTCTGTCAGCACTCTCAATGATAAATGAGCCGTTGGGTATCATACCTGTATGTGTGGCCAGAACTTTTCTTTCTGTAAATGCAGGCAGAGCAGTCAGCACCTTGGGATTTAAGCTCATGTCTCACAAGCAGGTCATTGTGCTAGGAGCTGGACACCAGATGAAGAAAAGGCGACGTTATTTCTGGGAGAAAAACTAATGGCTTATTACTGGCTGTTGTTGACTTAGTTCTGAGAAATGGTCTTCCTAAGTTTAGTAAAGGAAGGAGGTGAAGCTCGGAAGAGGGAAAGTCGTGTGTAGTGGGGACATTTTTGATAAGCGTTATAAACTGTAAAACGTGCACATGCATTTAGAAACAGTGACCCGCAGGCAGCCCCAGTGTGCGCCTTCGATGCCGGCACCGTCGGACGCTGCGTCTCCTCCGCAGCGGTCTGCACTACACTCGGCTTTCTCGGTAGCTTTTCTCTGTGGGGATCTACACTCGGCTTTCTCGGTAGCTTTTCTCTGTGGGGATCTACACTCGGCTTTCTCGCGGGACAACCCACTTCGATTTGCCGGAGCTTCTCTGTGGGACACACTCGGCTTTCTCGGTAGCTTTTCTCTGTGGGGATCTACACTCGGCTTTCTCGGTAGCTTTTCTCTGTGGGGATCTACACTCGGCTGGGCTCTTTGCTCAACCTGGAGCTTCACTTTTGACGGCTCTGCAAAGCTGATTTAAATTCAGCCTGGGAGACATTTTTCCTCTAGAAAAACAAGCATTCGTGGTAGTAGCTGTCCACAGGAGGGCGTGGGAACTGCTTTTCCAGAGGTCACACCACTTTCCTGAGGGATGAAGGGCCCAGTGGCCCCACAGGATCCTCTGCAGCTCATGGTCCAACCAGCCATGCCACACCCCAAACAGCAGCTGCTTCCTCACCTGCTCAACCCGCATCGTCGGGGCAGTGTCAGGGTGTTGGTGTTTTTGTTTTTTGGGTTTTTTTTTCACTGAATGTGACTTGTTTTGAGACAGGGTCTCTGTCACCCAGGTTGCAGTGCAGTGGCACGATTGTGGCTCACTGCAGCTTCTACCTCCAGGGCTCAAGCAGTCCTCCCACCTCAGCCTCCCGAGTAGCTGGGACCACAGGTACATGCCACCACACATGACTCATCTAAAACAATTGTTTTCATAGTGATGGGGTCTCCCTATGTTGCCCGGGCTGATCTTGAACTCTTGGCTTCAAGCCATCCTCCCGCCTCAGCCTCCCAAAGTGCTGGGATTACAGGCGCGAGCCACCACGCCAGGCTGATTGAATGTAGCTTTGTTGAAGATAATTCCACTTTTCTTTCATGGACTTTGGGCTTGACTGTTTGGGTAAGCCCTGCATTAAGTAATCTTGCAAGTCCCTCTTAGAGGCCTGGCTTGAGGGCTGTTTGGCATCCCAGCGGTGGAGCAGGGTCGGGCACGTTAAGCTTTTCCATTGAGCTCTGGAGTTGGAGGCACTCAGCACTTTTGTAAGGCCTTGTTCATTCACCTCTTCTCTGTCCAGCGTGTCTTCACTGGACACCTGCTGTATGTTCTTCCGTGCACCACGCTGTGGGCAGGGTCCTCATGTCTGTGGTGACCTGGCTGACCCCACAGCCCTGCATCGCACCTGCTGCTCCCTAGGACACCCCTGAGCTGGAAGAGCCGGAAGCTGTGCCACAGCCAGGCTTTGTTGATCAAGTTTACTTTCTGAGTTTACTGCTGACCAGGGCACTGCTCAGAATTGCTGAGTGGTTTGGGGCCTCCTGCCCTTAGCAGCTCTTGCCCTGCCTAGGTGGTGGTGGGGGGACAAGGCAGGCTCTGAGTCTCTCCCAAGGTGTTCTCCCCGCTCCCGTAGCTCTTCAAGGCTGTGTTTTACCTGTAGGTCTCTCTCCCATCATTAAATGAATAAAACCGAAACAAGGCAAAAAGCCAGCCGTTCTTCTCTCCTTCCCTAACTCTGTCCCCTCTCCCTGTGGCCCAGCTGCTCTTCCCTTTCCGTTCGGGCTTTCGAGCATGTGCTTTCCATCTTTCCCGCCCCTATGTGCCCAGGGGCCCATGCCAGTCATTAGGACCCCCTGGCTTCCTTCTCACTCCTCTACGGCCCTGGATGGTGCAGCTGCTCTGGACGTTCTCCCTGAGTCTCTGGTCACTCTCTTCTCGGTTGCCCTCAGCTCTTCCCCTGGCCCTTTAGATGTTGATATTCAAGGAACTGGCACCGTCTGCCGTGACAGTGCCAGGCCCTAGCATGACTCTGAAGTTTGTTCTCAGCTAACGTCTGTCTCCTGGGTCCCAGGTCACCTACTGAGCCTCTGGATTTTCCCAGACATGCCAAGCTCCACACAGGCAGGATGGATCACTGTCCTTCCAAGTCACCTGCCTTGATGGAGGTTGTGAGCATCTCCCCAGCTGTAGCCTCCAGCTCCTAAATTCTCCCCACCTCCCTGCCCCGCTTCTGAGCAGCCACCCACCTGTAGCTTGTAGACTCTCCCCCCATCCCCGCCCCTCCTCTAAGCAGCCACTCACTGGCAGCTTCTGTCTTCCTGCAGTCCTCCTGGCTGTCCAGACCCCCTTCACATTACCTAGACAGTTTCAGGGCTCTCCTCTCTGGGAGAGCCCTGCCTGCCTCCTCGTCTCCCTTTCCTGCTGTGGCCCTCACGGACATAAGTGGGCTCTGGAAGGCAAATCTGGTCATCTCTCCTGCCCAAGGCCCTTCTGTGGATTCTGCACCAAGTCCACAAGCCCTTTCTCTCTGCATTTGGGGTCCTGCCTCTCTCTGGTCCCCCACGGGTGTCAGTCCTTGGGCTCACTGTTTATTTCTCTTCCTCTTCCCTGAGTCACCCACTGCTCAAGACCCAGCTCAGCGGACATCTCCTCTAGGTTCTAGGCCACTGTCGCCTGCTGTACCTGTCAGGTGTCGGGGGCTCACCCTGCCTCTGAGCACCTCTTGCCTGTCCCTGCTGGAGCACTTGGTGCTGTGTGGCAATGTCCCCTGGCCTGGCCCTGCACAGGCGGGCACTGCAGTCCTGGAACCTGCAGGGGCTCTCAGTATCCTCACAAAACAGTGCTCCCCGTGGCTGGAGCCTCTGCTGCGTTTTTCGACGGGGATTTGAGTTTGTTGCTGCTGCTCAGGTGAGGTGCTTTGAAAATGGCATTGAGTAACTGATGTGCTTCTGCTTCTGCGGCAGAGGGAAAAGACAAATGACAGCCTCCAAATCTCCCCAGCCCACGGTGTTCTCACTGACCCACGCAGCCTGATCACTTAGAAGTGATGTGATTTCATGTCCTTGTTCTTATAATTTTAGTTCTTGTTTGTGGTTTAAATTATTTCCATGAGATTTTTTGGTGTGAGAAAGAAGTGACTAGAAATAGCCTTAAATGATCTTAAAATTAGCTAATCTTTCTCTTTACATCCTTCAAGTACTAAGTTCGGGCTGCTGTAACAAAAATAACCATAGACAGGGTGGCTTTAAAAACAGAATCTTATTTCTCACAGTTCTGGAGGCTGGGAACTCTGAGATCCGGCACCAGCTGATCCGGCTCCTGGAGAGAGCTCTCTTCCTGGGCTTGCAGAGGGTGGCCTTCTTGCTGCGTCCTGACGTGGCAGAGACAGCAAACATCTGTCTCACGTCTCTTCTTATAAGGGCACTAATCCAATAAGAGGGCCCCACCCTCATCACCTCATCACCTCCCAAAGGCCTCACGTCCTAAGGCCATCCCCTTAGGGGTTAGGATTTCAACCTAGGAATTTGGGGGAAACACAAACATTCAGTCCATAGCAAGTATCTTTCCTTTTCTCTGAAAGATACAGAGGTTCATGCCACTTATTGTTACTACAGAAACCTTTTCTCTTTCTCTGTGGTCTTTTTAGCTCATGAGACAGCAATACTAATTTTCTTGGCATGAAATATGTGGTAGAGGTTGTAAATTTTGAGATACTTTCTGACTAAGGGGGAAAAAAGGCTGTTACTTTCTAACCACGAAAATCCTTGGTGTAATTTTCTATAAGTTTGTCTGAAAATCCACGGTAATACTAATTAAAACCTCATTTTTTTGTGTGGTGGTGACTTGCCAAATTAAAAATTATCTGGGGCCAGGCATGGTGGCTCACGTTTGTAATCCCAGCACTCTGGTAGGCCAAGGCAGGCGGATCACATGAGGTCAGGAGTTTGAGACCAGCCTGGGCAACATGTTGAACCCCTGTCACTGCCAAAAACTACAAAAATTAGCTGGAAGCAAGGTAGAGTGGCTCACACCTGTAATCCCAGCACTTTGGGAAGCTGAGGCGGGTGGATCACCTGAGGTCAGGAGTTTGAAACCAGCCTGGGCAACATGGTAAAACCCTATCTCTACAAAAATACAAAAAATTAGCCAGGCATGGTGGCGGGCACCTGTAATCCCAACTACTCAGGGAGCCGAGGCAGGAGAATCACGTGAACCCAAGAGGCAGGGCTTGCAGTGAGCCAAGATCACGCCATTCCACTCCAGCCTGGGCAACAAGAGGGAAACTCCATCTCAAAAATAAATATAAAAATAAAAATTACCCAGACGTGTACATGCCTGTGCTCCCAGCTACTCGGGAGGCTGAGGCCAGAGAATCGCTTGAACCCGGGAGGCAAAGGTTGCAGTGAGCGGAGATCATGCCACTGCATTCCAGCCTGGGCAACAGAGTGAGACTCCATTAAAAAAAAAAAAAATTATTTGGGAAAAATAAACATAACAATCGGGAAACTTCTGAAAAAGAAAAGTGATGAAGATGACTTGTCCCACCTGCCGTATGGCAGTACATTGATCAAAGCTGTGCATTTTCTACCATTTTCACATCGCTGAGATTGGGTTATTTCTTACAGTCAATGGTGTGTGTTAATTGGTGTTTTCTTAATGTGCACAAACTGGTGCCTCTGTGATTACATGTTGATGAAACTGGCAGAAAGTTATAATTAATACATTGTGAGATTGGCATAGTAATAGAATATAGGTAAGAAATAGACTGTGTCTGGGAATTTTGCTGTGATAAAGGTGACATATGAAATCTGGGACAAAGAGGCATTTAGAAAAAAAGCCAATTCTTTAGTCCTTACACCAGAATAAATTAGACATGTCATATACTTAAGGTTAAAAAAGACAAATCATATAAAATGAAATGAAACGATTTACTCTTGGGATGAAGAAACACTTTCTAAGCAGAAAACAAAAGCCTCAAGTGATAATGAAATAGTTGATTGATTTGGTGCAACCGAATCTCATGTTGTCTGAGGTATCTGGAGAAGGACCACTGTTTTGTGTTCCACTAAGGGAAAAATGCTGCTGGGGAGGTTTTTGCCTGATCCTAAGATACACCCTGATCTCAAAGATG